CAGTATTTGAAAAATAATGTTTTTTGAACATTAAAGCATGTCAACATATTCGGTTACACCAAATACACAAAATAACGATCTTTAAAAAAGCATCATATGACCCCTTTAAAGTCTGTGAATTCAATTCACTTTGGTGAATCAGGGTCCAGAACCCATTTGATTTAAGTCAAGCCAATGAGCATGGACTTTATGAAGAGATTTTTTGTTTGTTTTATTGTTGTTGGCAGTTACATTTAATGGTACAGCATTTTACACACGACTTCAGAAAAGCCAAGTTCATCCATCCCAAACCTGAGGACCCTGCTTTCAACATGCAAACCCATCAATGAAATGTGTGGTCCACTGTCTTCTATAACCCCTGAGGTATCCATTTTATTATCTGTGCAAAAAAAAAAAAAAATGCACTCATATCTTAATCAGCTTAATAACTACAAATTAGCTTATTTATGAGTTGACAGTCAATACAGACCAAAAATATATTTTCATATTTGATTATGCTGCTAATTAGATGCACTTAATGTTGTCAACATCCTAATGAAGGATAAGTTGTTCTGAAAAAAACCCCGTCACAATTAACATTAAATATTGTCTTGTTATTGAATATACAATTATTGCTGACTTAGCAACAAGGTGTCAGACTGATACCACGTTACTATTATATCTCTAAGATCCATTATGTAAAGTGCGCCATAATAAGATGATTGAAAACCACGCCTCTTTTCTTGCATCAAATGACACTGTACCATCAGAGAATAGCATTGGTAATACTGAAAAGGAAGAATGTATTATTACTTGTGCATAGAAGATATGCCAAGTGCATAGTATAGCACACAGCAATGGCAGGCAAGAAGACAAAAGTCAAATTTGACTTATGGAATGACTAAAGGTTGGCTAAACTAGTTTCATGAAGATCCGAACTGTAATCCTCAGGATGTTATGTTAGTATAATAAAGCCTACAAACCTTATAAACAAGTCTCAGTCTGTCGTGAAACTCACACATGAAGCTTCCAGGGAATATTAAATATTACCTTTAAACACTTCACCTTCATCCAGATGTGCTCAGACAATAACTCTGGAAATAATGAGCAGGCTATTTTCTGAAGATACTTCTATTTTTACAATGGATAAAAAAAAAAAAAACAGGCTTCGAGGAGACTTCAAACCATCCTAATATGCAAAACGAAGAAAACAAAGCTGAAAATTCTTTGGTGAAATTAAATACCTGATGCAGGAAACCAGCAATGAAAAAAATAAGCACTTACATCAGTTTTAACCATGCTTCAAAGCTCATGTCTCATGTACCCTTTTTTTGTAAATTATAGTCCAATTATAGTGGCCTTCAAAGTACTGCTTAGTTAAATAATACTCCTCAGCCATCAGATTTTGTGCGTCAACTCGCATAAATTTGAAATATATGGCAACATAACTGCTTCAAATCTTTTGCGCATCCCAAATACATAACATGGAATGATTAAAAAGATTGAAACTCTTTCAGCAGAGGCAGTGGCATAGCAAGTCAGCCCCCCGCCCCCCCCCCCAAAATTTAA